CAAAGCTTGTTTAGCCTCATATTTTAGAAATTTCATGGCCCTTGAGACTTCAAGCTCTTTCTGTGAATTCGTATACTCACTGCGGACTAGTACCAATTGAAATTGGATATATCATTTTGATATTTCAAACTCTTTGTGTCATGACAAACCCACTGTGACCTCATTACCAGCGTGATGTCACAAACCCATTGTGACGTCACATTGCCTTTGTGACAACATGATCACATGGTGATATTTCAAACCTACTATGACCTCTTAGCACCTTTAAAAAAAACACAGGGTCTTGGGGCATCACAGTCCCTATGTCTACCCATATCCTCAGTGTGAACTAATCGCAACTGATATCAAACCAGCCATTGTAAAATCACAAAGCTTTTGTGTCATCACAAATGTGGCATCTCATTGTTATGACACCATAAGCTCATCATGACATTAAACTACTATGACATCATAGCATTATGACAACACATTGTCATCACCACTTTCACCTCACAAATATATTGTGAAATCACATTGAAGTTGTGACTTCATGAACACATTGTGACATCACAAATGTATTTTGACCTCTTTCCACCTTTGAAAAAACACATAGCCTTTGTGAAATCACAATCTCTTTGTATACCAATAACTTTATTTTGCACTAAGGACAATTGAGGTTAGACATGCCATTGGAATATCACAAACAGTGACATCATCATAAGTGTGATAGCTCATTGTCGTGTTGACACTACAAGCTCATTTTGACACCAACCTGCAATGATATCATTGCATTATGACATCACATTGTTATTGTGACATCATAGACACATTTTGAATGCTTATTATTTTGTTTTTTTTTGTTGTTGTTGATTGTGGGGCTTGAACTCTGGGCCTACGTGCTGTACTTCAGATCTTCAGTTCAAGGCTAGCTCTCTACCACTTGAGCCTCATTACCACTTCCAGTTTTCTCATGGTTAATTAGAGATAAGAGTTTCAGAAACTTTCCTGCCCAAGATGGCTTTGAACAATAATCTTTAGATCACAGCCTCCTTAGTAGCTAGGATCACAGGCACGAGCCACTGGTGCCCACCTTGAATGCCTATTCTGTGATTTCATTCTATTTAAAAATGTGGCATGTGGGTTGATATCAGAAACCCATTGCAACCTCAGCATCATTTGACATTACAATCCCATTGTGATTACACATTGCCATTGTGATGTAATTAACCCACTGTGACATCAGAAGCCTCTGCTGTCCTCATAACTCTTGTGACATGTTGCCATGGTGATATCTGAGGCCATTTGTGAGCTCATAATCTGTTTTTGACCTCATAATCTTTCAGGTATGACATGTGATAACAGATTTCACTGGGACATCATGACCCCTGTGATATCAAAGTGACAGAAATCATGAGTGTTGTGTCATATTGTGACATCACAGACTTGTTAGGACATCATCACATTTGTTACACACATGCCTTTGGAGCCATCACAGTCCCTTTGTGAACTTGTATAATTATTGTGAATTAATGACAAATGAGATTGGGCATGCCATTGTGACATCACCAACCCATTGTGACACCACAAACCTATTGTGACTTCATCATCATTATGACATCACCAACTTATTATGAAACCATGCATTATTATGACATGATATTGTGGCAAAATATTGCCATTGTGATATCACTGTCCCATAGTGTTTTCACAAACTTAGTATGACCTCATAACATTTTAGAAAATTCATGAACTTTGGGACTTCAAGCTCCTTCTCTGAACATGTATACTTCTACCTATAAAGAGGGAGACAATCCATGGAGACACATTTAAGTTAATAAACATTTATTTGCAGTAGAAAGGGTCCTGCAACTACCTTGTCCTGGGTTGGATACCCAGACCCAAGAGCAGCCTCAACCACCAAACCTCTCACCTCCAATGAGCATCCCCACCCTTTTTTAATGGTCTTCAAACCACCAATCACAAAAATTATGATGTCTAAAGCTCCAAACTTCGTATTTCAGGTATGACATGTGATATCAGAAATCCACTGTGACATCATGCCCACTGTGACATTACACTGACAGATATAACCACTTTGTCACATTGTGACATCAAAAACTCGTTAGGACTTCATCACATTTGTGACAACACATACCTTTGGAGGCATCAGGGTCCCTTTGAGAACCCATATAATCACGGAGAATTAATGACAGTTGAGAATCAGCATGCTATTGTGACATCACAAACCTATTGTCACCTCATCACCAGTATGCCGTCACCAACTATTACATCAAAACATGTTTATGACATGATATTATGACATCACTTTGCCATTGTGATATCAATCTCTGATTGTGTTTTCACAAAACTTTTTCAAAACCTGGTACAACCTCATAACATCTTAGAACATTCATAGTTTTGGCACTTCTAGCTCCTTCTGCGAACTCATGCTCTCATTGTGAACTAGTCGCAAGTGAAGTCAGACAGTGGAGGAAGGGAAGAGCATGAGGAGGAGGAGGAGGAGGACAAAGGAAGGAAGAGGGGAGAAGGAGAGAAAGGAAGAATGAAGAAGTAAAAGGGAGAGGAGAGGGAGAGGTAACAGTAGGAGGAAGAGAAATGCAAACAAGAATTCTTGATATTAAAATAAATAAGAATTTTTTGGGAAACGTTTTGCAAAGGTGACCTCCATGTGCATGGCAGAATAATTTTCTAATCAGAGTGACAGCTAGAACAGTGAGTGACAATGTGGGTAATTTCCTGTACAGAAGCCTAATCCTACACAATCTATTGCTGCATGCATACGTGCATAGACATTCTCTCATCCAGACCTGGACACTGTCCCTGAACTTCTGTGCTCAAAGTTATCACTCTACTGCATAAATTATATATCCATTTGTTGGAATTTAAAGACCAAAGAGAATTAGGAGTTTTTTAATACTTTATTCTTATTCTTTGCTTTTCTTTGGTACTAGTCCTCAGAGCCTGGGTGCTGTCCCTTTTCTGCCCAAAGCTTGCATTCTACCATATGAGCCATAGTTTCATTGCTGGCTTTTTGGTAGTTGATTAGAGATAAGAGTATATGGACTTCCTGCTCAGGCTAACTTTGAACCTTGATCTTCACATGTCAGCCTTCTGAGCAGCTAGGATTGCAGGTGTGAGCCAGTGTTTCAGGTGCAGCAGGTTCATCTGGCCCCAACTGGTTCTCTTGCCTATGAGTTTCACACAGGCTGAAGCCTTGCTTTGCGAGTTTATGGTTTTAGGCTCTTAGGGTTGGGCTTTAGGCTCTTAGGGCCACAGAAGCAAATTAGACAGCCATTGTCTCTACTATAGCACCCTGTAACTTGAGGGATCAGGATTATCCATTAATTCAAAGGCTGTTGAAAACTGTTTTCTCCAATCTCTTTTGATGCTATCTGTACAGTGTGCCTCTTCCAGTTCATGTGGATGACCTAGTTTTTCTAATTGCCTCTCTGGTTACTTACTTGCATTGGTAGAGAACATGTTCTCCATGATCATGGTTCACCTTATGCCTGGCTTTGTTCTGAACTCTTTATATAGATCATCTCATCCTCATAATACTCTGAGAGGTGCAGTAGGTACTGCAATATTCACTTTTAAATCCTTCAAATGTAATTTTTACAAGGCCACCAAGTTATGGTAGATCCAAACTGTAGTACTCTATAGTTCATTCTCTGGCCTAAGAATAAAAGCTTTATGTATGTATTTATTTGTTTTTGATAAGACTAGATCCTTTGCAGTTGCCCTCCCCTAACTGGTGCTAAGCTGCACTGCAGCAGTGCAGGGTCCAGAGTTCTCCAGGGCTTCTGGAGAAACCAGAAACCTCCTGGGACGTTTTGCTTCTGGTCTGCATGGGCAGGGGTGTAGGTGCCACTCAAGAGATAGTCCTATTTGAAGGTAATTGTCCCCACCCCCACACACACTGGGATTAGAAGTGAGAGTCTGGGAAAGTATGGATGCCCTCACTGTAGTGGATGGCCTCACTGTAGTGGATGCCCAAGAAGGAAGGCAGGTACTCAGATTCCAGGTGCCCACCTCTGACGACTCTGTGGCCCGTGGTTGCTGCTTTTCACCATGTCTGTGGATGGTTATGGTGCTGGCCCTATATTTTTCTGCCACCTTCTCCCAAGTAGGACCACTGCCGCTGCAGCAGTATAGCCAGATGGAACCCCTTCGTGGCCCCACGGAACTCCACTGGTCACCAGGTCGTGTCAGTGGAAACTGGAGCCCCTTCCTTTGGGTCTAGACCACAGTTTAAGGGACACACACACTCAGGAGCACCAGCAGATGAGCCAGGATAGCACTGCAGAGGCCAGTGGGGGCTTTTAGCGCACCCTGCCTGACTTCCCTCCAGGCCTCGCTGCTTGATTTCACCCAGGAGCAGCGAACATACAGCTGGAGCAGAGTCCACTGCCACCCTTCTCCAGCTGGGGCTGCAGCAACACCTGACAGGGATATTGGTCATCCTGGGCTGTGTAGTCCAGTGTGCAAGCGCCATCCAGGGAGCCCCGTTCTTGAGGTCACCGTCCAGCCCCCCATGGGAGCATGGTGGTGAGTGGAGACTGCACACAGCACAGTCCTTGGTAAGAAAGTGTGGTAGGGAGTCTGCCGCCTCTCCCTGGACATCCTGGAGCTGCTCCTTTCACCAGTTCTCTACGGTGGCCCTGGGCTGGATTCGAGTGTGCAAACCTCTCTCCCCATGGCCTACAACCACTGCAGCAGTGTAGCGTACTTGAACCTCTTCCATGTCACCCCACGGACCTCCACTTTCCTGGTTCACTTGGGCACCAGCACAGCTGCCATCCCCTCACCATGTGGAAGCCAGTGGAGCAAAACTTGCGGTGAGGGGACATGCGCATGTGCATATGCAGCCAGATGAGCCTGGACATGCGTCCGAGGGGCCACGGGAGAAGGAAGGTGGGGATTCAGGGTAGCTCTGGTTCATCCTGTTTGCATGGGGGCCTGGAGCCTTGTTTGTCATTTCGGTCTATCCTTAGGTACTTCACCCACCCAGTGCTGGGGACCTGAGACCTGGTCCACGTGGGATGGGGCGGCTGCAGGCCGGAGACTTCCCTGTTTTGAGGTAACATTTCCCCCCCCCCCCCAACACATACTGGAATGAATGGTGAGGGAAAGCATATGCACGTGCCAGCTGTAGTGGTCACCCTACAAGAAAGACAGGGACTCATATTCCCACCAAGACCCTCTGCCTTTCTGCCTATTGGGGTAGCTAGGTTGCTCCTCTTTGCTGTGTCTGTCAGTGATTATGGGGTTGACATGGAGACCACGGAAGAGACAGCTCCCTGGAGCCCCTTCAGAGTCACCGCAGAACTCCATTTTACTGCATGGGCCAGTTGTGGTGTCATCCCTGGGAGGCCCACACATGGAAGAAAGTGCTCCTCACGTCCCCCGGTGGGAGCAGAAGTGCAGGTGAGGGGGCACACCTCTGTGCCTACATTAGTGCCAGAGGAGCCTGGAGGCACACCACACCCGCTGCAGCGAGGTGGTGCCCAGGGTTTCTTTGGCTTTGCTGTGAGGACCTCTGTCGTTCTACTAGTCCATGTGGGCCCAGTTGTGGGTGCCATTCCATGGACGCTCCCATTTCGTGGTAATGTGTTCACCTCCTGACCCAGTTGGGCTCCGATGTGTGGGTGAAGGGCCATGAGTCTGCAAGCCAGCAGTAGAGGCCACCCAGAAGGAAGGCGGGACTTGGGGTCTGCACTGTCGCCCTCCTGGCTTTAGTTCTTGTAGTCAGGGTTTCTAGGTTGAATCATGTGGCTGGAGCCTTCTTGGCTGCCTCTGTCCCACAATCGGTGTTGAACCTGCTGCAGCAGTGATGCAGTGCCCTGGAGCTGCTTCAGGTTCATCTCAGGGACCTTTATTTTACTGGTCACCTTGGGCTGGGTGTGGTGCCATCCCAGGATGCTCCTATTTAGAAGTGGGACTTCCCTTCCTGGGACTGGGAACGAGGGTTGAGAGGCTCATGCATGTGCCCATCAACACCAGAGCAGCCTGGACATGCACTGCACTTGAGTGCTACTGGAGAAGAGAAGTCGGGACTCTGCCCTGCCTTACCATTGGCCAGGGGGTGCTTCATTCCAACCTATCCACAGGCGGTCCTAAGATCATAAATGTCAGCGTTTTATTTTCTTTCAAATTCCATATTAAATTGAAGTAGTAAAATTTTCTATTGTTGGGTTGGTATGTCAGATGCCCTTCCTGTGTTTCAAAGCTCCTGAAGTCAGGAAGATCATGGAATATTTCCTTGAATTCTTCCTTAACTATGCCAAGTGACTCCACTTGCCAGAAATTGACAGTTGTCTTTGGTGGTAGTGACAGGAGATAGTGTATCCTGGAGAGAAGGAACAGGTGTGCAAGGGAAACAATTAATGATTCCTGGCCTGCAGAGAAAGTAGTGACCAAATATTAGAGAACATACAAGGAAGAATTATACAACAGCCAAAAACTATTATTCTAAAAGGCTTGTTGCTTCTTATAAAACATGCCAGTGAAGTATCCAGGCTTGGTATGGAAGGCTGTTTTCTTAACTTTCATCTTACTTTAATCCTATCATTGATTCTACAAGGTGCCTCAGCCTATACTATGTGAAAGAATCCACATGGCTTATATATGGTATATGTGACATATTAATAATTTCACAGGTCTTGAAAAGCTTATGTTTACATGCTCAATAGTGCTTCCCAGAACAAACCCACTTGATTGGTCATCCATAGAAAAAGATGATTCATTAGACATACATGTACTACTAGAACAGACAGGCTAAGCACCAGCTTGGCAAATGTCTTTCTCTGTATTTTAGATAGATAGATAGATTTTGAAAACACTATGTTTAGAATGTGGCTAGAATATAGAGTACAAAGATAGGATAGAATAACATTGTGTAATTCCTGCTGAAGTATGTGTGGGTGATTATTTTCTGCATTTGATTGGAATTTATGGCAAGCATAATGGAAATTTCCATTAACCTAATGTTTAGGTTATGATAATATTTCTTTTGGGGGGTTGTTATTTTACAGGTAGTCATATGACTAATAAATGTGATGAGGAAATAGAGAATTTAAAACATCTTAAATATTCAGCTAAGTTCCTCCCTGAATATGTCACCAGACCAAGCTGCTGATCTGCCAGTAGTACAGGTATGTATCTGTCAAATATCTGTTCTCCAGTTCGTTCAAGAACTACATACTTTAGCCTAGGTGTTTAAAGCCTAAGTCATACTGTAATGTCAGGTTTGATTTCTGTTTTTCAATTGGAGCTGCTTATTGTGTATATTTACTTTCTATTTATTTTTCAAATTTGTGATTCTGCCAAGCACTTGGGACTCAGGCCTATAATCCTAGTTACTTAGGCTGAGATCTGAAAGAGTTGTGGTTCAAAGCCAGCCAAAAGCTGGGTGCCGGTGGCTCACGCCTGTAATCCTAGCTATTCAAGAGGCTGAGATTTGAGGATCACAGTTCAGAGACAGTCCCGACAGGAAAGTCCATGAGACTCTTGTCTCCAACAAACCACTAGAAAACCGGAAGTGGCGCCTTGACTCAAGCAGTAGAGTGCTTGCCTTGAACTGAAAAGCACTTGGACAGTGCCCAAGCCCAGAGGTCAAACCCCATGACTGAGAAAAAAAAAAAAAAGAAAAGGAAAAAAAAGCCAGCTCAAGACATAAAAATCTGGTACTCTCATCTCCAATTAACCACAAAAAGACATAAGTGGTGTTGTAGAGCACCAGCCTTCAGCAAAAAGTTAAAAGACAGAACCCAGGCTTTGAGTTCAAGCCCTAGTACTGGTATAGAACAAAACAAAACAAAAATACTGTGACAGTGCCGTTGCCTAGGGCCCCTCTCATGCAGTACTCACTCCAGTGCAGTTTCACACTTCCTGCTTCATTCAGGCCAGTGCTGCCTTTCTCTCCAAACAGGGAGCCTGTGAGCAGGATGGCACAGTTGCTCACAGCACCCCAGCTTCCTCATGCAGCTATGCACTCAGGCTGCCTGTGCAGAGGTCACCAACTGTGACCTCTCCAATCGTGTGTTTTGGCAGATCATTCTTTTGGCTGAGAAACTTCTTTGACCAAAGTTGAACCTACCTTATTCACTTTAGTGTTGGTTTTCTTACTTAATGTGCAATATAAAACACATATATACATCTCTTTCAAAATGCCTAATGCCATGATTTTTCTCCCAAGCAGAGATATCTACCATTTATTCCTATTTTTCTTTTTCTTTTGTTCTTTTTGCCAGTACCAGCACTTGAACTTAGGACCTAAAGCTGTGGCTTGTTGCTTGCTCAGCTGTTTCTGTTTTTATGACTGGATCACACCCCCAGCCTAGTTTTTGCTAGCTATTTTTGAGATAAAAGTCTCAGGGATTTTTCTGCTCCAACTGACTTTGAACTATGTCTCAGTATCAGGGAAGAGCTAAGTTTACAGGTGTAAATGACTGGCAAATGACTTGTTTTGTGGGGTTTTCTGTTAGTTTGCAAATTAGAGGAAGAATTAGCTCAGAGATCATGACTTATTTTCAGTGCTTATTTGGTTTTTCAATAATAAATCAAGATGTAACTCTATCCCTAGCTTTGACTTGGATTTTAACTTGTGAGTTGTCCATATTAAATGAATGCCAATGGACTAGATCTAGTATGTAATAGCTAACCTCAAAACATGCATATGTATCATTGAGAGATTAGTGGTTTTACTTTATTTCTCAAATTGTAATTTTTCTCCTCATTTTAATATTGAATTTTCAACTGTTGCTTATTCCCTCAGGTGCATTAAACTTAGCCTAGCATGGTTCTTTCCTTTCCTTTCCTTTCGTGTGTGTGTGTGTGTGTGTGTGTGTGTGTGTGTGTGTGTGTGTGTGTGCGCGCGCACATGTGTGTATTAGCACACGTACGTGTGTGTTGTGTTGGTGATTGAACTCAGGGCCTTGGCACTGCCCTTTACCTTTTTTTCTCAAAGCTAATGCTCTACCACAGATCCACTTCCAGCATTTTTTAGTGGTTAATTGGAGATGGGTCTCATGGACTTTCTTGTCCAGTCTGGATTCAAACATCAAACCTCAGATCTCACCTCTAGAGTATATGTTTTCTTATTAAGATCAAAACACTGTCAGGTACCAGTGTCTCATGCCTGTAATCATAGCTACTCAAGAAGCTGAGATCTGAGGATCGCAGTTCAAATACCAGCCCGGGCAGGAAAGTCTACGAGACTCTTATCTCCAATAACTGCCAGAAAACCAGAAGTGGCACTGTGGTTCAAGTGGTAGAATGCTCACCTTGGACTGAAGAGCTGAGAGACAGCACCCAAGCCCAGAGTTCAAGACCAACAGAAAAACCAAAAAGATCAAAACACTAAAGAGGTAACTCAGAAGCCAGATGCTGTGACATTGTTATAGCTCACACTGTCACTAAAAATGTTTCTTTCTTTTCATATAGGTTTCCACCAGTACAAGTATTCTACCCAGTGTGAGTATGCATAACTTTAGATACCTGACAACTTGTACATTACCCAACTTGAAGGCATACACCAAAAAGCAAATAGGTGGCAGACAACATTGGCACAAGCTGTGAGTTACATATTCTTCCTCAGGAAATTAATGATAAAAACAAGGGACATAGGCCAGCTTGAGCTAAAGAGGGAAATCTTGTCTCAAAAACAAAAACTGAAGACAGGAATCTGAGAGAAGAGGGAAGGGGGATTTATCTAGGCCTACATTTTCACCTGCATCGCCTCCATCTTGTGATTTATCTTTTCATTCTATTCAGTAATCTACCTTCCAATGAGTTTTTGGAGCTTGTTTTTTTTTTTCAGAGTTAGAAATCTTCCTGTTATGGTAGAGGATTTAGCTAAATGGAAGAGCACTTGTCTAGCAAGTGCCAGACCCTAAGTTAAGATCCCCAACACGGAATTAAAAAAAGACTTCTTAATATTATTTACATTGTGGCATACTTCACAAAAGAAAGAAATTTATTAACGAATTAGTCAGAGTACTGACAAAATCCATCTTTTGGGGCTCATTTGTTTAAGAAAGCTACGATGAAAAAACATAACATAAGCTGGGCATTGATGGCTTATGCCTGCAATCCTTACTAATCAAGAAGCTGAGACGTGAGGATCATGGTTTGAAGCCAGCCAGCACAGAGAAAGCCTATGAATCTCTTATGTCCAATTAAAGAACTGAAACTGTGACTCAAGTGGTACAGTGCTAGCCTTGGGCTAAAAAGCTAAGGGACAGCGCCCAGACCCTAACATAAAACAACAAAAACATAGAGGAAAACTCATAAATTACAAACCATGGAAATGTCAGCATTATGAAGGACAGAATCCCAATGATAGTTCTTTCTTGATTCACAAAAATGTGTAAGGAGATACATGAATCAGTTTAGATAAAGTTAGCTAAACTCTCTGACACTCAGTCTGTGCCTCTGTGCCTTTGTAGTGTGGAGAAGCTGCTCCTATACTAGCGCTTTTTGGGGAGAAGGATTCTGGCCAACAGAGATACTGTGTGATAAGGAATTTCTAGAAGCTTCCATGGGTCAGCTTCTAGCCAAACAGCCTGTTTGGTTAGAGCTAAACCCTCTGGATACTAGGACTCAGGTCCTGTCTCCCTTCCTCTCCACTTTGCGAGATCTGACCCTTGACCTAGAAAAACTTGTTAAGCCCTGAGTGACTTGGCCTGGCCAGAGCAACAAGTTGTACTGTTTTGATGTCCCCACATCCTCCTGCATGTTGTCCTTTAGATTCTTTGCTCCAGGCTAGTCTACCGATGAAGCCAGAGCTCCACTTCTGGCTTTTTATTTAATTGGAGTTTGGTTAATAGGACTTTCCTGCCAAGGATAGCTTTGAACTCAGAGTCTCAAATCTCAGTCTTCTGAGTAGCTAGGATTACTGCTGTGAGAAACTAACACCTGGCCAGATCCCTTCTTCATAAACTAAAATCTACATGGTTTTCTGAGTTCAAATGGAAATTATTCTTTGCCTTCCACGGCTGGAGGCATAGCATGAGTAGCATGAGCAGCAGAGACATGCCTTACCTAGCAAGCATGAAGCCCTGAGTTAAATCACTTGGCTTGTACAATTTTCACAATTTAAAAATAAGTAATATCAAACCCTTTTTTCCATGTTGCATGAACTTTTTCAGCAGAGCATTGCTGACAGTTCTGGATTCAAATGTTCTCCACCTAAATATTTCCTTCATCATTACAGAAGGGAGACATTTTCTGGGTGGCATAAGTAGCAGCAGAGAAGACACTGGAAGAAGAGGCCTGGCCTCATGTGGGTGAAGCTATGGAGTCCTGAAGGGAGGTGGCTTCCATGGATCCTCACCAGTCACCTACAGCTGTAGGAAACAGGAATCTAGCTACCAAGGTGCAGTGAAATGGGAACATGACAGCCAAGACTGTGGAACGAGGCCTACGTCTGGTTGCTACTGTCCAATGAAATGAGAGCAAGGAACATTCATGTATAAATCTAGGACAGTTTTGCAGTCTGGCCTTGTAGGTTTGTGTATGAATGCCCAGGATTGAAAGTGTTGAGACCAGGAGTGAGATGATTTGATTAGAAAATGGACTCCTTCAGTGTTCAACAAGAAATGTGCTTATTACCTTACTCATATAACAGAAACTCCTTTGTATATCATCTTTACAATAAAATAATATTTAAAGTAACAGATATCCCACGGTTTCCCTTATCTCAATAGCTAGTACATGTCTGGGACAAGCAGAAAAGGTGGAAAGCTATGTACATATGACCAGATAAACTGATGCTAAGTGAAATGAACCCCAAGATAGGGACACGAGATTTTATTTTTCTTGCTGTTCTTTTTAATGTACTTATAAGTACTATATTTTTTTGTTTCTTTTGTATGTTCATCCCCTATGGTATAACCCCTGTTGTCACCATATTTGATTCCATTGTCCTGAATCTTGTGTATACATTTTTCTAATTGGGGGAAGGGAAGGGAAATAACAAAATGTTGAAATAGGGTGACAGGATGACCCACTGTAACAAAGAAATGTACAAGACACAATGTTGAACTTTACAAGTTTGGGGGGAAGGGAGGAATTGGGGAGGTGCGGAGGAAAAGGACGGGAGGGAAAAACAAAGGAGGGGGTAAAAATGCTTGATAGGAAATGGACGCATTACTTTGCTCATGTGACTATAACCTCTCTTCACATATCTTTACAATAAAAAAATATATATAATAAAAAAGGAAAATGGACTCCTTCAGGACTTTCAGGCCTACCTAGTGTTCTATTGTAATAATGTACTCATGACAACATTTTCTCAATTCAAAGCCATCTGTGTGTGTGTGTGTTTGTGAGTCTGTCTGTCTGTCTATCTGTCTGTCTGTCTGTCTGCCTGCCTGCTTGCCTGCCTGCCTATACTGGGACTTGAACTCAGGATCTTGGCACTCTGGCTGAGGTAATTTTTGCTAAAGGTTATTGCTCTACCACTTGAGGTATAGCTCCACTTCCAGATTTTTGGTGGTTTATTGGACATATGAGTCTCATGGACTTTACTGCTTGAGCTGGCTTCAAACTTCAATCCTCAGATCTCAGCCTCCAAAGTACTTAGGATTACAGGTATGAGCACTGGTGTGCAGCTTCAACGCAAATTTTGAATGCATGCATTAAATTCCTTTCAATTTGAAGGTTTCCCCTCTATCTTATTAAACCCTCTACTGCCAATTTTAGCAGAAAAAAAGTAAATTTCTATTTTTTAATTTTTTTGTCTGTTGTGGGGCTTGAACCTGGGCCTGGTCATTGTCCCTGAGCTCTTCAGCTCAAGGCGAGCGTTCTACCAATTAAGCCACAGTGTCACATCTGGTTTTCTAGTGGTTTATTGGAGATAAGAGTCTAATGGACTTTCCTGCCTGGGCTGGCTTTGAAATATGTTCCTCAGATCTTAGCCTCCTGAATAGATAGAATTACAGGCATGAGCCACCAGTGCCTGGCAAAGAAGAAAAAAAGGTGAATATTTAAGAAAAGGGAATAATTTGATAATGTAATGGGGCAATTTTATGTTAGTGATGTTCATTTTCTAGTTACTGTATCAATTGAAGTTTATACTACTTTATTTTTTCTTTTTCTTTTAGGTTTAAAAAATTATTTAAATATACCATATTAGAGGAAATGTCTATGAAAATATCACAAATAAAATATTTTTTTCTTCATTAAGCAAATTAGAAGTTGGAGGAGATTTCTACACAGTAGCCACAATGAGCCTGAGTTTTTTTTCCCATTCCTTTAAAAATTCTTTGCCATGGACATAGCAACATTAGTACAAAAACCACATGCATACATATATTGTACTTTACAGAAAGACAATGAAAGTGTTTGTGACAGAATATCACAAAAGCTATATCTCTTTCCTTTATCTCATGTTGTTTTACTGAAACATGTTTCCATACAACACAAATATATACAAAGAGCAAATAGACTGTTGTTAAGATAAAACACAGGGTACAAAACCCATCCAGTACCCTGCTAATTGTTAATACGTAGAGAAATCAGATTTTAATACTTATTCTAATTAGGCTATTAGTCATTTCTCCCCCCAAGTTCCCTTCCCCCCCCCATCCCCAAGATGTCCTCCGGTGGATTTTTTTTTTCATTTTCTCTACACTTTCCCATTAGCCCAGGTTCATGGAGTCCTTAACGTTCATATTCTGTCATTTTAATACACCAAAATATGTGGGAAGGGCAATCAAGACTAAGGAAGGTGCAATGGAGGTGGCACTGGTGCTAGCTACAAAGGTGACTTGTCATCCACCTGTGATGAACAAGATCTGAGCTGAAGGCATGCCTTCTGCTTTGCTCTGACCTTTGAGTAGACCTTCTAGTCTGGTAGTAGTGGGTTGCTCAGAAGTGAATTCAAATGGCCACTGATGAGAGCTGTAGTTCTACCATATGCAGAAAATAAACTGCCATTGATACAATGAAACTGCTAAAAGAAGATACTTTTTTTTTTTTTTTTTTTTTTAATTTTATTTTATTTTATTTGAGAACATACTGTACAGAGGGGTTACAATTACATGGGCAGGATAATGCATACATTTCTTACCAAGCATTGCATCCTCCTCCTTTGTTTACCCTTCACCTCCCTTCCCAGCCTCCCCCCTCCCTCCCACCCAATCATACCCCCCCTCCCCCCCCCCCACCGACATTGTAAAGCTGGTTTTGACATGACATTTTGTACTTCTCATTGTTGCAACAGGTCCACCTGAATCCTTAAACGACTTGTTTGTCCCCGTCTCCTCCACATGTTATACTGACATCAAATATAGTGAAAGCAGGGGTTACACTGTGGGGGAGGGACATACAAAGCAACAAAGAAATAATCTTATAAATGCATTAGAAACACATGCATGAAAGAAACAAAAACATTAAAATACATATTTGAGGTTTTGTTTTCCTAACATCACATTATCTGACTTTTTCCGCTTGACTCATACCTATACTAGATATTGCAAATAAGGGAAACCATGGGACCTATGTTTCTTTGGGCCTGGCTTACTTCACTTAATATAATTTTTTCCAAGCCTTTCCATTTCCTAACAAATGGGGAAATGTCATTCTTTCTGATGGAGGCATAGAATTCCATTGTGTATATATACCACATCTTCTTGATCCATTCATCTACTGAGGGGCATCTGGGTTGGTTCCATGTCTTAGCTATGGTAAATAATGCTGCAATAAACATAGTTGTGCTGGTAGCTTTAGTGTGGCCTTGTTTGTGATCATTTGGGTAAATGCCCAAAAGTGGGATTGCTGGGTCGTTGGGGAGCTCTATGTGGAGTCTTTTGAGGAACCTCCATACTGCTTTCCAAAGTGGTTGAACAAGTTTACATTCCCACCAACAATGAAGTAAGGTTCCTTTCTGTCCACATCCCCTCCAGCATCTGTTGTTGTTAGAGTTCTTGATTTTTGCTGTTCTAACTGGAGTGAGGTGATATCTCAATGTTGTTTTGATTTGCATTTCTTTTATGGCTAGGGATGTTGAACATTTCTTCATGTGTCTATTGGCCATCCTTCTTTCTTCTTCAGAGAAGCTTCTCTTTAAGTCTTTCGCCCACTTACTTATTGGGCAGTTGTTTCTTTGAGGATTTGTTGTTGGGTGGTTTAATTTTTTGAGTTCCAAGTATATTTTAGATATGAGACCCTTGTCCGTTGTATGGCTAGTAAAGATCTTCTCCCAGTCCGTGGGCTTTCTATTGATCTTGCTAGCTATGTCATTTGCCCTGCAGAAGCTCTGCAACCTTATACAATCCCATTTGTCCAGCCTTTCTTTGATTTGTTGTGTTTCTGGGTCTCTATTCAGAAAATTTCGGCCTGAGCCAAGGAGACCCAGGGTTTCTCCTATTCCATCCTGTAATGTTTTCAGAGTGTCTGCTTTGAGTTCAAGGTCTTTGATCCATTTGGAGTTGATTCTGGTGCAGGGTGATATATAAGGATCTAGCTTTAGTTTTCTACATGTAGCTAACCAGTTTTGCCAGCACCATTTACTGAAGAGGCTGTCTGTCTTCCATTCTATTGTTTTAGCTCCCTTATCGAAGATTAGATGGCTATAGGTCTGTAGGTTCATTTCTGGGTTTTCAATTCTATTCCATTGGTCCTGAGGTCTGTTCTTATGCCAATACCAAGCTGTTTTGATTACTATGGCTTTATAGTAGAGTTTGAAATTTGGTATTGATATTCCTCCAGCAGTATTCTTTCCGTTGAGGAGCGTTTTTGCTATTCGGGGTCTTTTATTGTTCCATATGAATTTTTGGATTGCCTTAAAAGAAGATACTTTTAACTTGAGACTACAAACATTTAATGATGTAGTTTGAGAGTCAAAAGCTAACAGAGCTTGAATACTACTAGTCTTTATTTCTTAGACATGAGAGAAGAAAAAATTCTCTGGGCTGACCTAGAAATCTTACACAACTTGCCTACGTCTTTTGAGTGCAGGAAAAACAGATGAGTGCCACCATGATTGGAGGCTACTGGTATTTTAACAGGGCTTATGTTCTTATTGATAATGCTCTGGTTTCCAGTTCTCTTTTTCAACCTTTTGTCTCTCTTAATGTTCTCCATAGCTTGTGCATATAGTTTGAAGGAACAGGAGGGTTTTCAAGAAAATATGTATTAAGAAAAAAAAAAAGAAAATATCCATTAAGTCATAAGTGAGATCCCATGACCTGAGAACTACATTGGAGTGTCTAAAACTTAGTCCAGATATGTAATATCAAACATATACACAGGTGATTTCTCCCCTGCTGTTATTAAACATGGCACAAATATGACAGATTTTGAGATCAAGAAGATGATGTGAAATCATTCAAATCATACTTTTGTCATATACCATTTTCTTGAAGCCCATAACTGGCAAGAACAAGGATTGAAAATAATGTTCTTATTTTCTTTTTGAGCAAAATTCTGAATAACCTTTCAGTTTGGTTGTGTCTAGAGTATAGGAGGCAGATGTAGGAGCCAAAGGTCCCTGAGAGTCTGGTGCAGTGGCTTACACCTGTAATTCCAACTATATGGAGGTGAGATCAGGGGGACTGTGGTTTGAAGCCAACCTAGGCAAAATATTAGTGGAGGGCTGGGAAGGTGGCTCAGTGGTAGAGC